ATGGCCTTAAAGAACATCTAAAGTCAGGCATTAAAATGAGAAGACATTAACTGGGCAAAGAAACCGGGGAGGGGAATCAAGCAGTAGAATCATATACACTCAAGTCAGGTGAAAGGTGAAAGCCATCTGTTGGTGAATATCTGGGATATTGATCTTGAGTCCCAGACAAAAATTCCTGGACCATTCATCAACCTTGGTTTACTAAGGAAGTGTATCAGTTAGCTACTGCTGCATAACAAACCACCTGGAAACCTAAATTTAAAAAACAACAACCATTTTACTGCTCACAATTCTATAGGTCACGAATCTGGACAGGAGCCAAAAGAGTTGATATGAGGATGTAAAAGAGATAATAGCACTTCAGTGTTGATTGCAGTACTATTCACAGTAGTCAAGGTGTGGAAATAACCTAAATGTCCATTGAAAATGAATGAAGAAAGAAAACATGTATGATTTATACATACAATGGAATATTATGCAGCCTTGGAAAAGAAAGATATCTTGCAATCTCTATCAACATAGATGAAACTTGAGGAAAAAAATGCGAAAATAAATGCTATGGGCTACATGTTTGTCATCACCCCACCCCACTCCCCCTCCCCTGCCAAAATTTATATGTTAAAGTTCTAATCCCCAATGTGGTGTTTTAGAGGTGAGACCATTGGGAGATAATGAGGTCATGAATGTGGAGCCCTCAAGAATGGGATTAGTGCCCCAGTAAGAAGAGACACAGAGGGATCATCTCTTTCTCTCTCTCTCTCTCTCTCTCTCTCTGACATGTGAGGATGCAGCAAGAGGGTGTCTGTCTGCAAACTAGGAAAAGACCTCTAAGCAGGTGAATCAGCAAAAATCTTGATCTTGGACTTCCTAGCCTTTAGAACTGTGAGAAATAAGTACTTATGGTTTAAGCTACCCAGTCTGTGGTATTTGTTAGAGCAGCCCACACTCACTAAGACAGTAAGCCAATCACAGACTGAGAAATACTACATGATTCAACCCAGATGAGCTGTCAGCCATAGTCACACTCACAGAATCAGAGAGTAGAATAGTGGTTGTAGGGTTGGCGGGGAGAGGAAATGGGACTTGCTAATCAACAGGCATAAAGTCTCAATTATGGAAGATGAACAAATTCTAGAAATCGTTGTGCCTATAGTTAACAGTACTGCATTGTACACTTAAATTGTTGCTAAGAGAGTAGATTTTATGTTGAGTATTCTTACCACAATGAAGTACTTTTTAAAAACAGAGAATCTGGGCAGGGCAGATTTGGGCATCTGAGGTGCTGGGCCGGGACTGGAGAATCCAAAATGGCACCCTTCCCATCTGGAGCCTCAGCTGGGGTGGCTTACCCAGCTGGCAGTTGGCTGAAATAGCTGGGCCTCTCTCTTCTCTTGGTGTCGACTGGGCCCACTCGCATGTCTGTTTGGTTTTCCACATGACCCGTCTCTCCTTATGGATAGGCTAGACTTCTTTACAGTGGTTGAATTTCCTTCTGTACAAAAGAAGAAGCTATAAGGCCTGAGCCCAGAAGTCCCAGACCCCATTTCTACCTCATTCCGTGGCTCACAAGGCCTACCCAGATTCAAATGGTGGGGAGAAAACTTCCCACCTCTCAATGGGACTTGTGGCGTACAGAGATGAGAGAAATGTTTAGCAGCCATCATCCCAGTTTACTGGAAATGGTGGCCCCAACTCTGGGACAGTATAATTGTGAGAGTGTAATGGCAAAAGCCTGCTGCCCCATGAGGCCTCCACGGGCACCAGCCAGTAGGAGAAGGGGGCTCCCCTGCTGCCAGCTGGGGATAGTAGTCCACGCTCGCCATGCGGGCTCTTCTCACTCTGTGCCTCGTCACTGGACCCCAGATCCCTCCTTGACCTTGTCTGAGAATCCCAGCATGTGAGTTAAGGTGCCTTGTTATAACCATGAAAGGTTGGAAATCTAGGCTCCCTACTTGGCTTATGCTGGTATTGGGGGTTGGGTGGGGGGGTTATGTTTTATTTTTCCTGTGATATTTGGAATACAGCAGTTGTCTAAAAGTTTTCTGTCTTGGGGCACCTGGGTGGCTCAGTCGTTTAGGTGTCCGATTTCGGCTCAGGTCATGATCTCACGGTTCGTGGGTTTGAGCCCCGTGTCGGGCTCTGTGCTGACAGCTCAGAGCCTGGAGCCTGCTTCCGATTCTGTGTCTCCCTCTCTCTCTGCCCCTCCGCTACTCATACTCTGTCTCTCTCAAAAATGAATGTTAAAAAAATTTTTTTAATAAGAAAGTAAAAGTTTTCTGCCTTGCTTGACTGCTCATCTTCTGGTCTTTGACTAGAAAGCATGGGCTTTTCTTAGAGCTGTTTTGTCTCCACCCATTGATACTCCCAGGTTGCCCATTTCTTCAGCTTCAGATCTGAGCAATGTGCGCTGAAGAGAAAACCCAGGAAACTTGCCGCCATGTCGTTCCCCGGGCCCCCAGCTCCCCGGCTGGTCTGCCTTCTCCTCTCCACCTTTCAGAGTTGTCTAATGTTTGCTTTACGTGTAACATCCCGCGTTTCCAGGTGTATACAGCAGGAAACGGGGAGAAAATTAGGCCTGCTCCATTGTGCTGGAAGCAGAAGTTCTGTAATTTGCTTTTTAAATTGGAAGGAACAACAGAATTTATTGTATGTAAACAGCACTGGAATATTGGAGACATTCGTTTGTTATATTCCTAAGTGCAGTTTATTAGACGTATAAGAAATGTTTCTTGGTAAGATTTTGTTTAAAAGAAACTAGATTTGTGAATCTGTTTTTTATAGCAAATATCATTTTTTTAAGTGTATTTATTTTGAGACGGAGAGAGAGAGAGAATAAGTGTGGCAGGGGCAGAAAGGGAAGACAGAGGATCTGAAGCAGGCTCTGCGCTGACAGCAGAGAGCCCAAAGTGGGGCTTGAACTCATGAACTGTGAGATCATGACCCAAGTTGAAGTCAGATGTTTAACCAACTGAGCCACCCAGGCGCCCCTAACAAATACAATTTTTAAAAAATCAATGTAATGCAGATAGCCTTTTTTGTGTGTGTCTGCAAAAGCCATCCCTCGAAGAAATGAACACTCAGGTTTACTAGGAGTTGGACTCATTATAAACATGTTCCCAAACTCCGTTCCATGAAGCATGGACTCGGGCTCTGTGGGGCAAGCAATAGAAACCAACTCTTAAGCAAATAAGACTGTAGGGCTGCTCCCAGCATGGAAGGAAGAGCTAGAGAAGCAGGCTTGGGGACATTCCAGGCACCAGGATGGCCCCTGGGGCCTGGCTTGCCCAGGCCTGACCTTGGGCAACAGTGAGCCCAGCCTTCTTTCAGGGCTCCTGCTACTCTGTTCAAGATTTGCACCCCAGGGGCACCTGGGTGGCTCAGTCGGTGAAACGTCTGACTTTGGCTTAGGTCATGCTCTCACGGTTTGTGGGTTCGAGCCCCACATCGTGCTCTGTGCTGACATCTCAGAGCCTGGAGCCTGCTTCAGATTCTGTGTCACCTTCTCTCTCTGCTCCTCCCCTGCTCATGCTTGCTCTTGCTCTCAAACATAAATAAACATAAAAAAGAAAGGAGGGAAGGGAGGAAGGAAGGAAGGGCCCATCCTGGGGAGGGAGGATTCATATTTGGCTAAGATAGAACATTCCTTGGTGTTGGGTGGTAACATAACACTGGAGGGTGGGCTGGGGACATAGTACAATGTGGCTTAAATTCTGAGGCAAGTAGCCTTTGACCCAGAAGTCCCCCTTCTAAGAATTTATCCCAAGGAGGTAATCCTCATCAATGCACAAAAATGCATATACAAGGATATTCAGTTACAGCGTGTTAAAAAAAAAAAAAAAAAAAGGAAACACCCTAAGTAATCAATAAAGGAGAAGTCATGATATAAAGTATGGCACATGCAAATGATGAGTTATTTGGTATTTATTAAAAATGGTGAATTAAATATGCTTGACAGGGGAACGTGTTTATAACACCTTAGGTAAAAATAGGTTATAAAACAGATTATAGTCTTATTTTTATAAAACGAACTAACCTTGTCATTCCTATCTAAATTATGGACAGAAAGAAGTTTACAAGAACAAAGTTTGCAAGAACACAATGTCTGCAGTAGTTATCTCTGGGTTTATTCTTACAGGTGGCCCTTCCATTGTGTTGTGATTGTTACCATTCCTGTCATTTCTTTCTATTTCCTAATTGTTCTACAATGAATGTATATTTGGTGATCGTCTTTTAAGATTAAAAGAAAATGCCATGCCAAGAAATCTGAACTTTACTCTTAAAGCGAGGAGATTAAATGTTTAAAAATGAAATAATTAAAAATGCCATAAGCACATCAGCCAGTTTAGAGTCTCTTTGAGGGACGCCTGGGTGGCTCAGTCAGTTAAGCCTTCAACTTCGGCTCAGGTCTGATCCCATCGTTCGTGGGTTCAAGCCCCGCGTCGGGCTCTGTGCTGACAGCTCGGAGTGTGGACCCTGCTTCAGATTCTGTGTCTCCCTCTCTCTCTGAACCTCCCCCACTCACACTCTGTGTGTGTGTGTCTCTCTCAAAAATAAATAAACATTAAAAAAATGTTTTAAGTCTCATTGAGACCCCCTCTGGCAACCTGACGAATCCACTGATAAAATGGCAAATCGTATTCCTGCCTGTGTTTCTCTTGTAAATTCTGATTTCTGAATGTTGCTTTCCCACACAAGACTGCGGGGAGTGGATCCATTGAGGGAATAGCAGAGCAGATTCAGGCCTTATCAGGTCATTATGACCAGTGGACAAAGGACGTTGCTTTCTGGAAGTGTCCAGCTCAGGGCAGTGTTTTGTAAACCAGCAAGGCAGCCTCACTGACGTTCAGTAGTAAAACTCCAGTAGAAGGTCAGGAGTGTGGCTTTGTGGGGGATGTTTTCCTGGTTTTGTTTGGGGACAGCAAACAGTGGGACCTCAGACGTGCCCTGGGGCCTTTAGCGTAGACCCAGTTCACATCTGCTCCCGTGAACTTTCCTTACAGGAGAACCTGATCGGCGCCCTTTTGGCAATTTTCGGGCATCTTGTGGTCAGCATCGCGCTCAACCTGCAGGTAAGCAAGTGTCCGTCACCAGCACTGTTGGCAGCAGAGACACAGCCGATCAGCGGGTGTCTGGTGTGCCGCTGGGTCCACATGTGGGCCTCTGTCTACGCCATTCCTAGGCTGCGTCTACGACCATCTTGTGGGTGGCTCCAGAATCTCTCTTGATCCTTTGGCCCCATGTCCTCACCCCATCACCCCTCCACTCTGATGACAGCGCCCACCACTACCTAGGATCCCTGGGGGCCCTGGGGCAGCTGCTGTGGGAGCCGAGGCCCTTGGCCGTGGCGCTGGCTGGCGGCTGCCTGCTCTCACGTCTGGCCCCGGAATTGCACTGCGACCCCAGGCACAGGACAAGTCCCACAGCACTCTGGCTGCACTCTGCCAGTGCCACCCCATCTCTAGCCGCGGTGAACCCCCGCCTTCCCCGGAGCAGGGACGTCGACACGCTTGGGCACCCGGTCCGTCTGGGCTTCCAGGCACACGCGCTTGCGGGAGTGTTTCTGTGTGTTTCTGAGGCCACACGATCTCATAGCCACTTGTCTGGTTCAGGCTCTTCTTTCTACAGACTGCATCCCCGCCTCCACATCTGCTTCTCCACAGCCCCCACCACGGTCCCCCATGTAGCCTCCATGGTCCTCCAAGTCAGCACGTCTGCCTGGCTCTCCTTAGTCACCACCCCACTTTCTGAGTCCACACTTCCAGAACACAGGCTGCGGCCATGCTTGGGTCAAGTCCCTCCCCAAGGGAAGGCAGGGTCCGCGGACTCCCCCGGGGCTGCCCTGGGGCACCTGCAGAAGGGAGTGGAGCAGGCACCTGGAGCGCAAGGGCTTCTGGGCATTAGAGTTAGGCAGAGACTCAACCCAAGGCTGGGCTAATATGGGGGCGCTCGACCACAGCTCCCCCTGTACACCATGCCGGGCATTAGAAATGCACCTTTCCAGGCCTCCCCCAGCCTCCCCTGAGGTCGGGGCATTTACATTTTCAGAACTTCCCAGTGAGTTGCTGAGGCGTCCCAGCCAGTCCAAGAACTTCTGTCTTAGAATGACAGCTGGGCATTGAGATCCCTACTGCTGGCCTCTCCTCTGAGCAAGGACTCCTGAACCTTCCCAAGGTTCGGGCGGGGGGGGGGGGGCAGTGAGGGAGGGACACAGGTGTAGACTTAGGACATGTACATCGTAGCATCTTCCTCAGATATCTGAGCAAGTGACGTTCTTTCTCGGACTTCTAGAAGTACTGCCACATCCGCCTGGCGGGCTCCAAGGACCCCCGGGCCTACTTCAAGACCAAAACATGGTGGCTGGGCCTGTTCCTGATGCTGCTGGGTGAGCTGGGCGTGTTTGCCTCCTACGCCTTCGCCCCGCTGTCACTGATCGTGCCCCTCAGCGCTGTGTCGGTGATTGGTAAGCCCGGGCTCCCCGCACCTCTCCCCTGGGACCCGCCTGCCGGTGCCTCTGCCCAACTAGTGACACAAAGCACATTTGCCTGGTCACATAGCTGACACTTACAAAGGGCTTCATACACACCAGCCCTGCACTTAGCACTTTACACATGTTAATTCTTCTAATCCTCCTTTTTGAGGGCAGACTGTCATTATCCCCATTTTACAGATGCGGAAATGGGGGGCACGGGGCAGTGAAGTTCCTTCCTCCAAGTCACAACAGCTAGTGAGTGGCAGGACTGCGGTACAGATGGGCTGTCTGGCCCCCTAATCTGTTAAAAAATGATTCAGAAAGTTTATCAGAATTGCCTTTTATTTCTACTGAAAAAGAAGGCAGAAACTTGGACCCTTTCATCAAGATAACCCAAACTTGTATAGGGTTCAGATCTTACATTAGGGCTCATTTCTTACACTTCTAAAAAATGCAATTCAACTTATTCTCTGATCTTTTTACATCAACTGATACCATCTTTCCCATTGTTCACTTTCTCGGGGAGCCTGGGGGGCTCAGTCGGTTAAGTGTCCGACTCTTGATTTCGGTTCAGGTCATGATCTCAGGGTTCGTGAGATCAAGCCCTCTGTGGTGCTCTTCACTGACAGCATGGAGCCTGTGTAGGATTCTCTCTTTCCCTCTTTCTCTGTCCCTCCTCTGCTCGTATGCTCACTCACTCACTCGCTCTCTCTCAAAATAAATAAACATTAAAAAACAGCAAAATATAATCTGAATGCGTTTAGTTGTGGCAAGAAGTCACCCCAGTCCTAGCCTTTCCTTGTCTTATCCGTCCCACTTTCTACGTTTGTTTTATCACGCAGTCCCGACGGGCATTGACGTTTGTCCTCTGCCCATTGCCCATCTGAAAAGGACTTCAGGACCTTTATTCACAATGAGAAATAGGTGACCAAGTGACTAAGTGCTTTAAATATTTGCCTTTGAATTTTAATAATTTAGTAATTCAGTAATCAAATCCTTAAGAATGAGAGACTGAATTGTAAAGATGGGTTCTCGGGTATCAGCCGCTAGAAAGTAAGGGGCTCTCAGAGTTTCTTAAGGCACCTAGTAAAAAATAATACTAAAAACAAATAAATAACTACAATTTGTTGGGCACCTGTTACTTAACAGTCATGATTTCAGTTATTTTAATAGTAACAATAGCTCAGTTATTGAGCATTTACTGTGTAACAAATTATCTGCATGTATTATCTCATTTAATTGCCCTTATGACTCAAGAGAAGTAGGTATTTTCAGTGGTGTGCTGATGAAGCAACATTCAGAGAGAGAAAAGGAGAGAAGAAAAAGGATGCAGAAGTGGCGGAAGGGAAGGGAGGGGGGAGAGGAAGGAAGGGACGGAATAGTGGGAAAGGAGGAAAGGAAGACCCAATTTGTAGTGTTTCTGATTTATACAGTGCCAGTACCCCCGCCATGGCCAATTTCACACCACGGTGGTTTCCTGTATATTTAACAAGCAGCGAGCTGGCATGAGCTGAATCCAGACTGACGTTCCCACTTGGTGACTTACCCACAGACACACAGCCAGAAAAAGGCAGAGCAGAGAATAGGCACCCAGGCCTGCTCACGGTGGATGCCAGCCGCACCCCTCCGGGCAGTGACCAGCAGGTGTGAGAGGGAGAGAGAAGAACCAGGGGAAAGTGACAGAGGTAGTCACGGCCGTAGAAGGAGCAGGAGCCCGGCTTTTTCAGATGGGAATAATAGCACTCACCTCGGAGGGTAGATGTGCCAGAAACACCTTCCTGCAAGTACTCCACACTGCAAGTACTCCACACCAGTGCTCCCGGGCCTGTCTGAAATCCTCAGGAAGGGTCAGGGAGGAGTCTCCCTTCCTGAGGTGGAATAACAGAGGAGCCAGAAGGACTGAGTTTGGGGGAGGGGAGCATGAGGGAGAGGCACCGAGTTCCTGGGAACCTTAAGGAGTACCAAGCTCCAAGGCAAATGGGTCAACCACAGGGCCTGGGCAAAGGGACTCCGTTGGGCTGATGGCATCCTCAATTTTCTTTTCTCTTTTCTTTTCCCAATTTTCTTTTGTTTATTTTTTTTTATAGCCAGCGCCATCATAGGCATCATATTCATCAAAGAAAAATGGAAACCTAAAGACTTTCTGAGTAAGTTCACGGATTTGAGTCCCTGTTCTTAATTTTATGCTTGTGCTGGCTGTTATAAAGCCAGCTCACCCCAATCTACAGATCATCTGTCTCCTGCTCCCTTCTCTGCTTCTAAACTCTACCCTCATCGGGCTTCTGAGAGCTGGGTTTTTTAATCAGTGGTTCTCAAATCTGGCCACGCAACAGAATCACCTGTGAGACTTTGTGTGTGTGTGTGTGTGTGTGTGTGTGTGTGTGTGTGTGTGTGTGTGTGAGAGAGAGAGAGAGAGACTTTTTAAGAGGGGCTTTCCTTCATTCCATTCAGTCTATATATATATATATATATATATATATATACAAGCAGCGAGCTATATATATATATGTATATATATATATATATATATACATATATATATATATATACAATCTATATATACTGAGCATCTGTTGATCTGTTGTTAGGATTTCAGGAGGCCTGATAATAGGCGCCCGCTTTCCCTAAATGAGTTCTAGAGCAATGGGAAACAAACATGTAGGTCAAAGACAAGAGGTCAGAAGTGGTGCTTTCTTGCTTCTACAAACTGGATGAGAGCGTGCAGCTTACACATGCAGCCAAGTGAACTTGCTCACGTGGCCGGATTTGGGAATGACTGTTCTGGATCATTGGCGCCGGATATGAGCAAGACGGGGCCAGAGGGCTTGAAAAAGAGAATCTTACACTCTGCTCAGCGAACATACGACGCCAAGAGTCTTTTGCTCAGAGTGATTTGCAGTAGTCCCGATGGCAGAGGAAGGGTGCAGGGGTAGCTGGGCTGGTTCTGAGCCCACTGTAGAGTTTTATGTCCCTTCCAGGCTCACTCTAGGTAGTCCTGGTATAAGAGACATGCTAGTCCAGGCAGTGGCCTATGTAAATTGGAAAAAGGTGGCCCCTCTGGACATCTGTAGTTCTGTGAGCAGAGCATAGGCTAGATTTTAGCCCTCATCACCCCTTCAGCTAGGTGCTCTTATGCAGTGAGCAACTTGTACAACTGCACATGGCTGTCCTGCATAAAGTTCCATTAAAGTCAGCAAACATTCACCCAGTGCTACACCTGTGCTGTACACCACAGGCATGGGCATGAGTAAGACCTTAAGACAACAGACTTGTATATCTTAGCACAGAGCCCATTTTTGAGTTTAACCGTGGCTCATTCATTCATTGGACAAATGAACACCTGGTTTTTGAGCACCTTACGAGGCCTAGAATGAAAATTAAAGACATGTAATGTGGTGTCACGTTTTTTTGGAGACAGTGGAATGAAGTATGCAGTTAGTTCCATCCCAGAAAAGTCTAGAGGCCTGTGGTAACCATGCACAGCTCAGAACTCATAGCCCTTTTCAAAGCTTGCCTGGGTCCGGGCTGACGTCAAGAGGTTTTCCACAAAACCCCCACGGCTCGACTGGAGTGTGACCCAGGGGAAAAGTCAGGAGAGACTCCCCAGCCCCCCCACAGTCTCTGACAGGTCTGTGGAGTAGAATATTGATAGTATTTGGACTGGTCTCTTGGGACTAGGTTAACTACCAGATGGGAAATGATAGGTCCTTGTTAAAAGGCACACAGTAGGCCCTGAAGGTTTGCTGGTGAGGTCTTGTTATATTTGGTTTGTTAGGTTGCCCAGAAAGTGATGGTAGCTTTCAAATGTTCCCTGTAACATGCACATTAAAGCCACAGGGCAGTATCAGAGTGGCTACCATGAAGGGAAAAAAAGAGGCAATCTTAGGCTCATACTTTCCCAGTGGGAGTGGGAATTGGTGCAACTGGTTTGGAGAGCCGTTTGACAGTCACCACTAGGCTGACCGTCTATGTACCCCATGACCCGGGAATGGCCACTCCTCATTTTACACCCAACAGAAATACGGACAACGTGTTTTCCAAATGGCATGCACAGGGATGCTTCTCGCCAGGTAATTTGCTGTAAGCAACACAGGAGAGCCCTCAAACACCCATCGGCAGCAGAATGGATAAATTGTGTCACACACCCTACCCGCCCCCCCCCCCCCCCCCCCCCCCACCTCACACCAGAATACAGACGAATCTCACAGGCTCGCAAACACGAATGTTGCATGAACCCAGGCACAAGAAAACATAGTGCGCGAGCCCAGGTGCACAGAGTACGAAACCAGGCTAGCGGTCGGCACTTGATAGAAGTCAAAGTTATATCCCGGGGCTGTGGTCCAGGGAGTAGAAGGAGACACAGGTGAGGAGGTGAGGATCTGGGTGCTGGTTACATGGGTGTGTTCACCCTGTGAGAATTCATTGAGCGCTCTTTTGTGTACTTGACACACCTCACTAAAATGTTTTAAACATTACATGTTACTTTTTTTTTTTTTTTTAAATACTTTTATTTATTTCTAGGAGAGAGAGAGACAGCATGAGCAGGGGAGGGTCAGAGAGAGAGGGAGACACAGACTCCGAAACAGGCTCCAGGCTCTGAGCTGGCAGTCAGCACAGAGCCTGACGCGGGGCTCGAACCGCTAACCGCGAGATCATGACCTAAGCGAAAGTCGGACGCTTAACCGACTAAGCCACCCAGGCGCCCCTACATGTTACTTTTTAAAATAACAACAAGGAGGATAATAAGAAAAACCAGAAATACAAGCAACAGCAGGTACCAGAGGCACATGCTGGCCAGAGGCCCGCACCCCTGCAGCAAGCCCTGTGACAGCCTCCCCCTCCCTGCAGGGCGCTACGTCTTGTCCTTCGTTGGCTGCGGTTTGGCCATTGTGGGCACCTACCTGCTGGTGACATTCGCCCCCAACAGCCATGAGAAGATGACAGGCGAGAACATCACCAGGCACCTCGTGAGCTGGCCTTTCCTCTTGTACATGGTAAGAGCAGCCATTGATCCTTCCACCCAAGATGGCAGGAGGGAGCATATAGTCCTAGACCCTGGACACCTGACCCTCCAGCAGTAGGGGATTTGAGTGAATCGTGACGTATTTCACAGCACCAAGGACCGTGCTTGTGGCAAGGATGTAGTCGACGGGAAATGCTGTTTTCACTTACGTCCTGCATAATGTCTGCATCTGCATATACAATATGATAATTTTAGTTTGTAGAGATAGTGTAGGTTTGTGTATAATGTATCTGTAAAGGACTAGATGGAGAAAGCGAACCTCTATCCGTAATTGTCTCGGAGAGCTGGAATTATGATTGAGTTTTCATTTCACCTTTGTCTTCATGCATCATCCAAAATGTCTCCAGTGAGCATTTAAGACTTTTAGGGCAAGAAAAACAGTTACAATTTTAAACCATCATAGAAATGCTACCTATTTTTTCCCAGAGTCACAGAGCTGCTCAAAGCTGCTAGAAACACAGGAGACACTGGAAACGGTCTCCTCAACCCCACACCCCAGTCACATCCCACGTTAGGGCCACAAAGAAACGAATTGAGGGAGCCTGTAAGGTATTTAAGGAAGCCGCCGGTGTAGATCCCTGTTCTATGCCAGGCAGGCACCGAGCTAAACACTTTTCTTGCGTACCATCTCAAATCCTCCCAGCAACCCTATAAGGCAGATGTTTGTCTCCCCATTCTCTGGAGGAGAAAACTGAGGCTGCAGGAGGTTAGCTGGCTGCTCAGAGTCCCACGAAGGCAGAGCTGGATTCAAAGTCGGGCTCCCTGGCCTCACGGACCACCCTCCTTCTCCACCACCCGCCGATGAAGATGCTAACTGTTTTTCCTCTGACACGAGCGGCCTGGGGCTGCTCTGCAGGCCTGAAACATCCCTTTTTCTTCGCTTGCTCCCAAGGCAGAGGAGTGATTTCCCCCAGTTGGGACCTGTCCCCTCCCCACCGTCAGCCAGCCCCAGCGTGCACCTGGCGGGTGCGGAGAAGCGGCTCGAGGACGGAGCCAAAGAACACCCCTCTGCAGGAAAGGCTTAACCCCAGAACACACTTTTCTCTTAGGGAGTCCTGGGCTCGGATCTGTCATGTGCTGTGTGACCATGGCCAAGTCACCTAACTGAAAGCTCCGCATCCTTCTGTGTACTCTGGTGGCAGTCGCTGCACCGGGGCAGGTGATGGGGAGACACGAGGTGGTGTGGCGGTCACCCGGCCCTTGGCAGACCCCCGGTGACCTGACCCGCTTGTCTTCCTTCCTTGTGTCCTCAGGGCATTGTTGCTGTAACTAAACTCAAGGGGTCACTGTTTGGGGTACATTAAATTGAACAGAACCCAAGGGAATGTTGCAAGCAAAGACCTTTTATTACTTTTCACAAGTAAAGAGAAAGGGAGGGGGGATAGTTCTGGAAGCACTGCCTCCCCATGGGGTTAGGGCAGGAAGCTTTTATGCAGTGTGCTGGAGGCCAAGGGCAGGGAGCTGGCTACATCAAGGAACGGATACATTTTCTGTGTCTTAGGTACTTTGGTTCAACTGCGCAGGCTTAGCTTGTCAAGGTGCTAGTGCATACATTGTAGGTTCAAAAAAATGGCAGAAAACCCCACCCACAGGGGGAGATCTTAGCATCAGGATGAGTGAAAGGTAACTTTAGGGCAACTCAGGGGCTTCTGTGCAGGCACTGGTCTCCAGCATGGCTCGAACGGGCTCCCTCGAGGGGGACCTATCTCGTGGAGTTCCCAGCCGTGACCTCTCCTTGATGGCAGCGGCTTCTTTCCCTGCTTTTATCCCTGCCCCCTCTCTCTCCCGCTGATGGATTTCAGTCCCCTGATGTGAGCAAGTCTGTTGCATCCCAGCGCTGCCAGCTAGAGAGGTTTGGCCCAAGGCAGTAAATATTCTCTGAGTATCTGCTGCGTGCCATACGCGGTGTGTGTAAGGCCGACTGTAGGCACACTTGTGAGCAGAGCAGGATACTCAGAGTTGGTAGAGTTTTCCAGTCCCTTGTACACCTGAAGCTAATGTGTCAACTATAATTCCGTAAAAAGAGAAAGGAGGCAGGGTGCCTGGGTGGCTCAGTCAGTTAAGCGTCTGACTTCGGCTCAGGTCATGATCTCACGGTTTGTGGATTCAAGCCCTGCGTTGGGCTCTGTGCTGACAGCTCAGAGCCTGGAGCCTGCTTCTGATTCTGTGTCTCCCTCTCTCTCTGCCCCGCCCCATGCTTGCTCGCTCTCTCTCTCAAAAATAAATAAACATTAAAAAAAATTTTTTTTAGGAGCTCTTTAAAAAAAAGAAAGAAAGGAAGCATGGAGACAGACATGTTCCAGGGGCATGCACACAGCATCTCACAGTAGAGCCCCAAGCGCTGTACCAGCAAGCATTTCAGCCTCATGAGGAATGGCTGGAAAACTGGGCACCCTGAGAGCACGCACGATGCTCAGGAATGTTGATGAGTAAATGCATCTGCTTGAGGGTGTATTCTGCAGCAATTAAATATAATTATGACAATTCCATAAAATACAAGGATTGTTTTTGGTAACTAAAAACAGCCTGGTACAAAATTGTGCACAGGCTCTGATGGCAAGTAGATAAAATATGTATTTGCTGCAACAAAGTCAGGAAGAAACAGGAAAATGAAAACAGCTGGGTTGTTGGGGTTTTTTTTTTTAATGGTCTGTCATTATGAGGAATTTAAAAATTTTTCGAAATGCCCACTAATGGTTCTGCATTGCTTTTTATGATAGATAAACTTTGTAGGCAAACGGAGCCAGCCACCCACCGTCAAAGTTGTCTGCTTTCATTTTGCGGCATGCCGGGGCTGGCCTGACTTCTTGGGAAAAGATTGCCAAGTGTCTGGGTCCCCAAGGAGTAGAAAGGACAAGTTGTTGAGGTAGCCACTCCCACTTTAGACCGGCATGTCTGGTAGGGAGATTCTACTGCCTGAGCGCCTTCTACACCCTAGGTGCTAGGCCTCTTGCATCCAGAAGTGCAGCCTAGTGGGATAGCACACAGGCCTTCGAGCCAGACTGCCCAGGTTCAAATCCTGGCTCGGCCATTCCATTAGCCCAGTGCTGTGATAGTGCCCACTTCCCAGAATTATTGTGCTGATGTAACAACCTTAGTGTAAGCACAGCGTTTCTGGTGTATTTATGAGCCCATGACGTATCCACAATGATTATGGCCTTAGAAAGCAAGAACCATCATGGCTATTTCACAGACGAGGTCATTGATGCTCGCAGATGCTAAGTGACTTGCCCACGGTCACACAACTATTTTAGAAGCAGATCCAGTTTCAAACTTGGGCCTCCCTGACTCCAGTCCTCCTCTTTCTACCCACCAGGCCACACGCATTGGAGGCTTGCTTAGGGGACAGGGGCACGTACACTTAAGCCAAAGGTTCTACTTCAACCAAAGAGCTCTTCTCCCTCAGTGAACACGTGTCTCCCTCCTTGTTCTTTTTCTTTTTTTTTAATTTTTTTAATGTTTATTTATTTTTGAGAACGAGACAGAGTGTGAGACAAGGAGGGGCAGAGAGAGAGAGAGAGAAAGGGACACAGAATCCAAAGCAGGCTCCAGGCTCCAAGCTGTCAGCACAGAGCCCGACGCGGGGCTCGAGCTCACAAACCATGAGATCATGACCTGAGTCGAAGTCAGATACTTAACCGACTGAGCCCCTCAGGCTCTGCCAGGGTCACCCTCTTTGACGCACCTTTGGTTTTAATGGGGTTTCCCAGTGCACCCCCCAAGCCCTGAGCGAACCCCTCATCTGTGTTACCCAGGGGGTAGAGATCCCCTCAGAGCCCCTCCCGTTTCCACGGGGTGTATATCAGCAGTTTGGGAAGTGCTGGGTGTTGCGATCCCCGTCATCCCTGAGGGTCGGTGACTTTACTGACGCCAGCAGCCCAGCAGGGCCCCCACCCCCCCCGGGTTCTCCCACGTCCACGGCCCTGCTGACCTCCCCGCCCGCTTACTCCGCAGCTTGTGGAGATCATTCTGTTCTGCCTGCTGCTCTACTTCTACAAGGAGAGGAACGCCAACAGCATCGTCGTCATTCTCCTCCTGGTGGCCTTGCTCGGTAAGTGGCGGGCTGCGTGCTTGGGTTTTGCCACCATCAGGTAGCACCACAGGGTCCCTGCTAAGTGCAGGTGGCTTCCGTTGGTTCGGTCACGCTGCTGTGAGTGTGTTCACGGTTCTCGCTTTGAGACCAGGAGTCCCCTAAGTGCCAGGAACGGCACCGGGGAGAGAGTCACAGGGGAGAACAAGACAGACACACCCACGCCCTCAGGAGGCCTCCGTTCCAAAGGGAGGAGGTGTTAGTAACCAGGTAGACAAACGCATAGATCCTGGAGAAGGCCTGGGCCATGGTCATCACAGTGAAGAAGACGACAGCGGGGTCGGGGGAGGGGTGTTAAGGGGTTATTTCAGAGAAGTCAGAGGCAGGCTCCAGGCTGCATCCTCAGGGCTTCGCGTAAGCCTGTCGGGCTGGGAATGAGGGCCAGATTCAAAAGCAGGACTTGATGTTGCTCTCTCGCCTGGTTCTTTCCTTTGGGAGCGATGGATGCAATGTGGGAAGTGGCTCCTGAGTCACACTGGGGCAAGGCCGGCCCCACATAGAGTGTGATATCGGGCATGGGAAGTTCCCCGGCTTCCAGGGGAAGGAGAAGGGGGTGGCAGATGGGAAGCCCGCCTGCTGCGTCCTGGGGACTCTGTGGCCTCAGGCTGGTCACTCCCTCCTGTTGAAGCCGCCCTGTCCTCTAAAAATAGGCCTGGGAAAACACCCACATCTCAGGGGGCCGAGCAGGGGCACATGGACCAGCACAAGTGCCCGAGACCAGGTGCCGCCCTTCTGTCCTTCCCACATCGGAGCCTCCACACCAGTCACGCGCCTTCAGCCACACAGATAGGGGCCACCAGAGGCCACGGTTGCAGCATTTTTTTTTTTAAACAGCTTTATTGAGCTATAATTTACCCACCATCAAATCCACCTATTTGAAGTATACGACATAAACGGAATCCCATAACGTGTGGCTTTTTGTGGCTAGCACTTTCCACTGAGCGTGTGTGTGTCTATGCGGAAACTTACAGCAGGGGTCCCCTCCCTGGTGATCTTGTTTGCAAGATTGGAAGCTCAGGGTCCCCAAATGTTCTCTCTGATGAGTTGGAAGGCCAGAAGGTTCTAAGGCACATTGGCCGCTCTCCCTGGGTCCCCTCCTCACTAAGAAGGACAAGAAAGTGCTGGTCCTCACTGGCTGCTGGTGTTTGAAAACCATCATCTAGGAGGCTCCAGAAGCCACTGTGTTTGGTGGGTTGTTAGCAAGCAGGCAAATGAGTTGAAGCCAAGAAAGCTGGGAAAGCAGAGCATCTCAGTCAGAATAAAGGGCTTCATTTGTACCCGTACTTGGCAGTGGTTTCTTCTCACTCCTGCTTTGATGGGGGGGATCTGACAGTTTACAGTCAGCAGTCATTTCTGCACCACGGGGTAAAGCAGTGGCCTCCACAGTGAGGTGAGCAGCGAGTGATACCTCCTGCCGCTGTTTTATGACATAAATACCACAGAAGGACAGTGGTATGTGGGTATCACTTTAAAACACACAAACATGGGGGCGCCTGGGTGGCTTAGTCGGTTAAGCGTCCGACTTTCGCTCAGGTCATGATCTCGCGGTTCGTGGGTTCGAGCCCCGCGTCGGGCTCTGTGCTGACTGCCAGCTCAGAGCCTGGAGCCTGCTTCAGTCTGTGACTCCCTCTTTCTCTGACCCTCCCCTGCTCACGCTGTCTCGCTCTCTCCTAGAAATAAATAAAAATATTAAAAAAAAAAAACAAAAAAACACACAAACATGTATTATTGGAAAAGTAAGTGCACACACGCAGGAGTACAATTCCAAACCATTCAGAGACCTCTAATCAAATGTTTTTTTAAAATACAAGCCAGAGGGGGGCACCTGGGTGGCTCAGCCGGTTGAACATCCGACTTTGGCTTAGCTCATGATCTCACTGTTCGTGGGTTCAAGCCCTGCGTCGGGCTCTGTGCCGACGGCTGAGAGCCTGGAGCCTGCTTCGGATCCTGTGTCTCCCTCTCTCTCTCTGCCCCTTCCCTGCTCATGCTCTATCTCTCTCAAAAATAAACTTTTAAAAATAAAAATAAATAAAATACAAATGAATATGCATTAAAAAAACAAATAGAGCTCTTTGCACACCACGGTTTTTTCCCCCGTGATTGCCATGAGAAGGAGACTCAGAGGAAGTTCATTTATCCAAAGAGTGTCTTGACCTCCTACCCGTGTTGCAAGGGCAGCACCGCTTCTCGCGTTCAGAGACTTAGTGCCCTTTCTTGCTGGAGTTTGAAAATGACATCTGCAGATGCCTGTTGCTCTCCTGCTTTATTCTCTTCTTGAGACATAGCGGCACAGATAGGGCAGCTCGTGATCCGAGGCAAATGGCGTCTTCTCCCCACGTGGGCCCCAGTGCTCCAGGTTTTCCGCCAAGTCCTTTGGGGTCATAAACTGGCCATGACTCCCTGCATCCGTCCCTGCTCACCTTCTGCAGGCTCAATGACAGTGGTGACCGTGAAGGCCGTGGCTGGGATGCTGGTCCTGTCCATCCAGGGCAACCTGCAGCTGGACTACCCCATCTTCTACGTGATGTTCGTGTGCATGGTGGCAACCGCTGTCTACCAAGCCGCGTGAGTTGCACACCCTTTGCCTGCTGGGCTCCTCCACGCAGGGCTCTTCCATGTGCGGGGCCTGATCTCACTTGCTGTGGAAGCTGTAGGGAAGGTGGAACGGTCCACACAGCCTGTGGCCAGGGCCCCGCAGCTGCTCTGGAGGGAGGGGTCGCTGATTGGCTGAGCTGCCCCGTGGTGGTGCGGGGCTCCGTGCTGCCAGGCCAGGCGGGGATGTGGTTTTCCCTCTGCCTCGAAATGGGCGAGATGTGTGATCAGAGGTAGCACAGGCAGGCGTCTGCCTCACACACAGGCTCTAGAAGAAGCTGTGCAGCCCCCACGAGGCACCTGGCTGTCTGCTAGGTGGGAAACAGAAAGTTGCCCTTTCTGGGCCTCAAGAAATCTTCCCCAGGGAGTGAGTTGATCATGTCTCCCTCGGAAGGGTGGTCCTGAGCATAGCCTGGGTCTTGTTCACGTCTGGTCTGAGACCTGGGGCTCAGCAAAGGGCGTGGCACGGCCTGGGGACAGGATTCGGTGCAGGGCGGGGCCTTTTCCTCAGCTGCTCTAGGATCAGATTCCTTGTCCACAAGTGAGGATAACACCCGCCCTTCCCAAAGAGAATCGCACAGAGCTCTCAGTACCGTCCCCAGAATAACATCCAGAAAACCTCAGCCTCCTGTATGATCATGAGGACTATGACTATGTCGATCACTTCTTAATGTTTATTTATTCATTTTGAGAGAGAAAGAGGGATAGAGAGTGAGCAGGGGAGGGACAGAGAGAGAGGGAGAGAGGGAGAGAGAGATTCCCAAACATTCCAAGCTGACAGCATGGAGCCCACCTGGGGCTCGAACCCATGAACCATGATATCATGACCTGAGCCGAAACCAAGAGTCTGATGCTTAACCAACTGAGCCACCCAGGTGCCCCTATTATGTCCATTATTACTTAGTCCTACTACAGAGATTCTAGTCATTACCCCTGAGCCCACCCAGCTCCAGGCTCTGTGCTGAGCACCCCACATTTCCAGAGAGGAATCCAATGCCCCCTGCCCCCACCAAGGGCCTACTGTGTGCCAGGCGGGTCTTCGCACAGAGGCAAGAGCAATAGTCACTGTCCTCAGAGCACTCCCAGCCCTTGGGGGGGGGGGGGGGCGGGGCAGGGCAGCCGCGCAAACGGAAGAGAATAGTTGAGTGCCACGCAAAGAATGGACAAAGAATATATTCCGAGATGAGGGAGTGTTCGTACTAGACGGAGAGGTTAGGAATGATTCTAATTTCTCTCTCTTCTTCCTGCACTTACTGCAGTGAGCGCCTTATTTTTTCATTAAGAAGAACATTTGTTTTAAATAAATAATTACCGGGGCTCCTGGGTGGTTCAGGCGATTGAGCGTCCGACCTCAGCTCAGGTCATGATCTCACAGCTCATGGGTTCAAGCCCTGCATCGGGCTCTGGGCTGACAGCTCGGAGCCTGGAGCCTGCTTTGGATTCTGTGTCTCCCTCTGTGCCTCTCCCCCGCTCACATGTCTCTCTCTCTCTCTCTTTCAAATATAAACATTTTTTAAAAAGTAAAAAATAATTACAGCAAAAGGCAGAATGTGCTAAGTGCTGTAAAAGTTTATTGGACTATTTACAAGGACAGAAGTGGCTCTTTTTAGCGGGGTGGGGTTGCCGGCGGCACCGGTGGGAGGAGAAGGGCGTTTCGGGTGTCGAGAACCGTGCGGTCAGAGGTATGAGACCCAGAAGGCATGGCCCACTTGGGGAACGGGATTGTCTAGGGGACAAATGGGAACAAAGCAGGGACCCCAGAGTAGAGAGGCCCAAGGATGGCGTCTTTGTAAACCCAAGGGGTGTTCCTTTGTGCGCCACCTTCTTTTCTCAATCGGAGCCCGCTGTTGTCGGCTCTCACCTCGGCCTTCCTGACATGCCCACTGACCAGAGTGCTCTTGTGTTGAAGGTTTCTCAGTCAAGCCTCACAGATGTACGACTCCTCTTTGATCGCCAGCGTGGGCTACATTCTGTCCACGACCATTGCTATCACAGCAGGTGAGGATGGTGATGGCTAGATTTCTGGATTTCTGTCTCCCACCTTTGCTGCAGGAACATTAGCCCGGGGGGGGGGGGGGGGGGCAGGAGCTGCTGACTTGCTCCACCTCTTGGAGCTGTATATGACTTCATAGAGAAAAGTGCAGGATTTCGAGCTAGAGGGACCTGGGTGTACAGACACAGAGCTGGGTGGCTCTAGGAAAATCGCTTAACCTCTCTGAGCCTCAGTTCCACATTTATAAAATGGGAATAACACTCCCCTCCTAGAATTGAAATATATACAGTCTGCACTTTGTTATAGCTAAAACAAGGTTTCTTTAGCAGTGTTTGCCATCGTCTGCTAGCTCCACTAAGCGATCGCAGATTTCTTCTCTATAATTTTGAGAGATCATGACTGAATGAAGCATCTGTAATGTAATAGGTGCTGAGTAAGCTGTCATCGTTTTTAGATTCCTCCTTTTCTTTTACTCCACCCCTACTTCTTCATCTTTCTGAAAGGGGGCTTCGGAGGCTGGGAGCACATCAAGGTGTGTTTGTGTTTAAGGGGCAAGTGTGCCAAGTCCTGCTCACCGCAATGGGAACAGGGTAGGCACATGGCCCGCCAGGGCCTGCGCTGTAAGCTGTACCCACGACCCTGAGAGGCGTTGACCCAGAGCAGCCAGAAAGCAAACCCAAGGCACCAACTTAGGACATGGTCAAGAACTTGGGTCAGGTCAAGGTTGAGAGGAATAGCCAACAGCATGATCAGAAGCTGGTCAGGAATCAGGAGCTCAGGAACACAACACGAAGCCCATGGAGGTGGTCCAGACAGAGGCAGGCTGCAGGGCAGGTGAGGGTGACAGTCCCAGGGCTGGTGTGGGGGCGGGGGGGGGGGGGGGGGGGGGGGGAGAGCCTACAGGCCTGCCCCCTGCTGGCCGCGTGACGTCAGAGAGCTCTGACAGCTTAACACGAGCCTTGCCTTTCCCTCTTAAGAAAGACAGGGGAAGGGAATGTATAAAAACTAACAAAGGTGACAAAGGTCATCTGTAGTTTAGTTTATAGTGTATTTAACTGGGGACACTGGGTGCCGTGGCCATGAGAACCCTGCAGAAAAGCAAGATGGGGATACGAGGAGCGCAGGAGAAACAGAAGACAACCTGTCCCCCCAAATGGCTTTTATTTGGCTCTTCTAACATTTATGCTGCTGGTCATCATGCTTCTGATCACTCTGGTTCCCTGCAGGGAGGAGGTTAGCCAGATCCTAGACAGACTGGCGAGAAGGTGATTTGAAAACAGCTCACCTGTATTTTCTATTATCTGCTGCTCCAGGCGCAGTGTTTTACCTGGACTTCATCGGGGAGGATGCGCTACACATCTGTATGTTTTCACTGGGGTGAGTTACGTCCTGAGGCGTGGCCCAGGGACACAGAACTCCAGGCAGGTTGCCTCTGTGTCCCCATTCTCAAGCAATCCTTTTGAGCCCAGGGGGCAGCCAGGACCTGGGGCTTTGTCCTCCAGAGGTGAGGCTCTTACTCCCTGAAGGGCTTTATCTCTTTCCCGCGTCTTCTCTTTTGGGCTTTAATCTCCTTGTCATTTTGAAAATATCCCATTTTGACACGTGAAAAGACTCTCAGCGTCACCCCAGATCACAAAAATGCATTTTTTTAAGTTTATTTTTTGAGGGGAGAGGGAGGGGAGGAGAGAGGGAGAGAGAATCCCAAGTAGGTTCCACTCCGTGCAGAGCCTGACATGGAGCTCAATCCCATGACCATGAGATCATGACCTGAGCCTATATCAAGAATCAGATGCTTCACTGACTGAGCCACCCAGGTGCCCCAGAAATGCATTTTGAAGCCACATGAGATGCCATCAGTTTGCAAAAAGTAACAGGATTACTAATATCCATGGGGGCAAGAGGATGAGGAGGTCAGCTCTCTGCCATGCTGAGAGGATTCTTTAAAATATTTTTTTAAATGTTTATTTATTTTTGAGAAAGAGAGAGGCAGAGAGAGAGAGAGAAAGAGAGAGCAAGCTGATAAAGGCAGAGAGGGAGGAAGACACAGAATCCGAAGCAGGCTCCAGGCTCCAAGCTGTCAGCACAGAGCCCAACGTGGGGCTCGAACCCACAAACCATGAGATCATGACCTGAGCCAAAGTCAGAGGTCTAACCGACTGAGCCACCCAGGCACCCCAACGCCGAGAGGATTTTTAATGCCAGAGGACAATTTGGCAACGTCCATAAGAATTGTAAATGAGCATTGTTTGATGCAACATTTCATTTCTGATCATTTACCTTGGAAAAATAATCGAAATGGGATGCAAAGACACATGTATGAGGCTGTTTTTTGGTTAAAACGTTAATTGTAGAAGGAAAAAATGGAAGTAGCCTAAATGCCCAGCAGTAGAACACCGGTTAAATAAATTATGGTATATCCATACAATAAAGTACCATGCCGCCATTTTGAAAAATGAAGGCCTGTCTATAGGTACTGACCTAGAACCATGTCTAGGATACATTTAATGGAAAAAATTACACATTTTTAAATGTATAGTCTATCCTATGATTGAGCAGCTCCACATCTAGGTATATACCCAAATGAAATGCGTACACATATTGGCAGAATGACTTGTACCTGAATGTCTATAGTAGCTTTATTCATCATATGTCCACATGGATACAACCCAAATGTCTAGACACAGGAGAGTGGAAAGCAAATGATATAGTATATTAAGACAATGGATTCAATATAACAGTTAAAAACAATGAACTACTAATATATGCAATAAGTTGAGTGAACCTTAAAAACATTTATCCAGCAGGGGCGCCTGGGTGGCTCAGTCATTGAGTGCCTGACTCTTGATTTCAGCTCAGGTCATGATCCAAGGGTCGTGGGATCAAGTCTCACTTCGAGTTCCACACTGAGCATGAAGCCTACTTAAGATCCTCTGTCTGTCTCTCTCTCTCTCCCCCTGCTCTACTCACATTCTCTCTCTCTCTAAAACTAAAAAAAAAAAAAAAAAAAAAAAAGAAAGAGCAGGACACCTGGGTGGCTCAGTCAGTTGAGCATCTGACTTTGGCTTAGGTCATGATCTCACAGTTTCTGGGTTCAAGCCCCACGTCAGGTTCTGTGCTGACAGCTCGGAGCCTGGAGCCTGCTTCTGGTTCTGTGTCTCCCTCTCTCTCTGCCCCTCCCCATCTTGTGCTCTGTCTCTCTCTCTCAAAAATAAATAAACAATAAATAAATAAATAATGAAAAGTTTATGGAAGAAACCAGACAGAATACATACACACTTTATGATTTAACTTACAAAAAGTTCAAGAACAGGCAAATCAAGTTTTGGGTGATAGAGGAGGTCAGAACAGTGGCTTCCTCTGCAGGGTTAGCATGGATTGGAAGGGGCAGGGTTAGCATGGATTAGAAGGCGCATCAGGAAACTTCCTGGGGTGGAGGCGAGGGAAATGTCTCCTCTCTGGGCCTACGTGGAGATCACACAAGTGTCCACACAGGCAAAATTCATCTAGGCTACGTGCATTTAGCATATGTGCGTTTTACCACATGTAAATCACACCTCAGATTTTAGAAAGTGTGTTTATTTATCTAAACTCTAGGGAAAAGGAAAAGACTCTAGAAGAATCTACACCTGCCTGGGGTGGGGGAGATCAGGGGGAGATCAGGGACTTTTGAACTTTTTCTTTCTCTCCTGTATTGATTGAATTTAGGCCACAAACAATTTTTTTTAATTTAAAAAAATATCTTTTGGGGCGCCTGGATGGCTCAGTCAATTAGGCGTCTGGCTTCAGCTCAGGTCATGATCTTCACAGTTTGAGAGTTCGGGCCCCTCATTGAGCTCTGTGCTAACAGCTCAGAGCCTGGAGCCTGCTGCAGATTCTGTGTCTCCCTCTCTCTCTACCCCTCCCCCACTCACACTGCCTCTCTCTGTCTCAAAAATAAATAAACATTAAAAAAAATAAAATTAAAAAATTAAAAAAATGTATCTTTTCAGGGGAGGTTCTAAGATGCAAGCTAAATGAATTGGAAGAAGTTTTGCCCCGCAGAGTCTCATTTATCCTGCTTGATGCCAAGCGCAGGGCGTGTGAGGCTGTTTATCTCTCATCTGCTCCCCGCCCGACTCAGGCCCCCGAGCCTCCCTGTATTCAGCAGCAAGCCCCCTTCTGCAACCTGCGACCCTCTCTTTCCCTTTCCCCCATCACCTGGGTGTGAAAAGAGCCCTCCCAACCTCACTGCCACCTTTTTTCTCTCCCTCCCTTGTCTCTGTTCTCAGGTGCCTCATCGCATTCTTGGGTGTCTTCTTAATCACCCGCAACAGGAAGAAGGCCATTCCGTTTGAGCCCTATATTTCCATGGATGCCATGCCAGGTAACGCTAAAATCCCATATGTCCAGCTGGCCAGCCCATCCATAGAGAATGGCTGCTACTTCCTGTTTAAAAAGAGACGACTATCTGCTAGGTTTGGTACAGGGAAGATGTGCTGTGCCGTTACGGTGTGACTGTCTCTCTCTTTCTCTCTCTCTCTCTCTCTCTCTCTCTCTCTTTTTAAATCTCGCTGTGCCAAATAGGACGCAATGGTTGAGACGCCTCAGTTGGTTTTGAGCCCATCTCGCCAGTTCCCATGTCTATTTTGGGATCTCTTAAAGACAATCCGAATTCACACTGGATAGAATTACGATCTGTCCATCAGGCTACATAACCTGTGAAAGGAAAAATCCACTCACCCCGTTGGAATAGAATGACCAGAGAAGAGAAAGGATATAGGATGAATGAAATTCAAATACTATAACCTTGCTCCTTAGATTCCACGAGCGAATGGATTGTTCTGGAAAGCCTAGTTCCCCAGGGAGCTGGGGGTTCACACTGAGAAGCAGAAGCTCAGATGTGTGTAGTCCGTGACAGCAATAAGTGTGTGAATCAGCAGGGCACTGCACAGAAGGGAGCCGTGGGGGCTGTTGAGAGCTGGGGTGTTCCCGCCCAGCCTCTGCAGAGACCCAGGTGAGAAAAGTTAAGACCCCAGGCCAGCCCCATCCAGGTTTGCTGACCCAAGTTCTGGAGGTTGCCAGTGACCACTTGCTTTCACTCTTTAACTCAAAATAATTTTTATTTTAGATATAATGATGGAACTCTTTCCAGACCATAATCCCCACCCTTTACTAAGACAGTTTAATGAAGCCTAATGAAGGGGCGCCTGAGTGACTCACTCAGTTAAGCGTCCAACTCTTGATTTTGGCTTAGGTCCTAATCTCACGGCTCATAGCATCAAGCCCCGAGTTGGGTTCTGTGCTGACAGCTCGGAGCTGGCTTGAGATTCTCTCCCTCCCTCCCTCTCTGCCCCACCCTGGATCACATGCTCTCTTTCTCTCTCAAAATAAATAAATAAACATTAAAAAAAAAAAAACTTCTTAAAAAGACTGCCTAATGAACAGACTATAACCACACTGAAGGCATACATTAGTGCTTAATAAAGGACTCGGGGATCCGGGTGTAGTCTCAGGGCTGACTGAGGTGCCCCTGCTTGAAATGGCCCCAAGGTCTACATGTCTTCTATTATTTCCTCCTCTCTTGCTCTCAAGCTGTCGTCTGTCATTCATGCTGTTAGCAGCCTGCCTGTGTATAGCAACTCTGGGTCAAACTTCTCATTTGACCCAATGTGCTAGAATTGTATATAAAATTAAAATAAACAAGCTCTGAGTTTGGGGCCTTACGTTTTCTCCTAGGAGTTAAGTGCATGAGCTTTATTTAGTGCATGGACTTTGAAAACATCTAATCTGGCTGCTCAGATGCCTTTTTTGCTTACTTCCTTGTTTCTCGGCTGTGTCCCGGATAGATGAGGGCGCTGGATAGCTGAATTCCAGATAGGTGAGGTGTCAACTCTGTGTGTGTGCAAGTATGTGTATGTATATGTGTGTTTGTGTGTTTACAAACTGTGTATGTGTATATATCTACATGCATATTTGTATATGCATATATGCAGATGTATTTCCTAGTGGAAAACTAGAAGGTAACCTAAGGTAATCTTAGCTATCCACCTTCTGTGGTCTGTTTGTGGATGTGGCTCTCGGCTTCCTCTTTGTATTTTGTGACGGGTGGGAAGTCAGAGGTTGATGAAAGGCGACCGTGCCCTGTTGCTGTAGCACATCGGACCCTTCAGAGTAGATGTGTTCATCTACCCCACGAAGACAGGGCTTGGAGTTGGGCTTGGAGTTCAGGTGGCCTGGATTCAAATCCCAGCTCTGCACCCACCCACTCTGTGACCTTGGGCATGTCCTTGGATGTCCCAAGGCCTCTGACCTTGTAAATTGGGATTCCTTCTCTCGGGGTGGTGGAATCATATGTGAAAGGCTCCCTTGCACAGTGTCTGGGATTGGGTAGATGCCTGGTTCAATTTGGTTTCACTTCCCTTTTGCTTGAAAAAAACCCTTGAAAATTTCAAACACATGTTTAACCTGATGTGAGGTAGAACATGACAAATAAAACTGCTTTATTTAAAAAAAAAAAAAAAGAAAGGAGGGCACTGGCTGGCTCAAGCCACTCTTGATCTCGGATTCGTGAGTTCGAGCCCCATACTGGGTGTCAAGATTACTCAAATTTTAATACCTTTAAAAATAAATTAGTTAATTCATTAAAATTAAAAAATAAAATAAAACAGCTTAAACCCAGTGACTTTCCTAGCTGCCTGTACTCCCCGGTCAGCATCAGAGCCTTGCATTTGGCTTACCTAGACTGACATCTTCACAACAACCAGTAGCCAGGGTGCCAGAGGCATTCACTTCCTAAAACTGCACCACATGTCACAATTGATAGAGGGTTTAAATAATTCTAGAGCCAGAAAGAGTTCTAAAAAAGGTAAAAGGAAAAAAGCAGCCCCTGACAGCCGGGAGCCGGCCTGGCACTCACCACTGGACCTTGGCACTCCCTAGCCGAAAACAGACACTTTCACATCACGTCAGCGTCCAACACAGTCGCTCCAAACAGGGAGATCAAGATGCAGACAGGAGCACTCCACTCTCATGTACGAACACGGTCCCACCCACAGATGACTGACCACCCACCTAACACGAGTGACTGCTGCCTCCTTACCAATCACGTTAGTTTCAATACCACCTTCTTCCGGCCTAGAGAAGAATTATTAAGATCCCCGATTATAGAATCAGTCCCACTTCCCGACAGTATCGAATCCAAAGCAAATCCTTGCTTCCTTAAAAATCCTCCCCCAAATCGCCTAACACAAATCTAAGTTCTGGAAGTCATTTCTAGCACTGACTGAGCCGTCTCACAGTCCCCCATGGTCCCTCATTGCCAGAAATCAATAAACCCACAAGTGCTGGACTATGAGTGTAGTCCTGGTGCTCTTTTAGCTGAAGAACATTGACAAAATCCAAAGCTAACCTGTGCCTGGTAAGTGAACCCTTTTCCCTAGGGAACAGGCACCCCGTCAGCTCTTCCCAAGCCCCCCACACAAATTCAAACCACAGCCTCTTCGACTGTACTCTTCAGACGACCGTCAGCTAAGGCTTGTGCCCTGTGAAAGCAAAAGGGCCTTCCGCAGACAGAGTCTTCCCCGGCCATTCACAGAGTGGACCGGAGCAGACAGAAGCACGGGCTGTGGTGTCAGATCCCAGCTGTGTGACCTCGGGACCTTGGAATCTATGTTCTTATCCGGATGAGGAGGATAGGATTGGGGGGACGGGGGCGGGGAGTATTAAGTGGAAGTGCACGGGGCGGCCACACAGCATTCCAGTTAAGAGTGTGGGCTTCAGCGCTCAAACCACCTGAGTTTAAGCCCTAATGCTGCCACTTGCCAGCTTTGTGACCTCAAGCAAGTTACATAACGTCTAACTGTCCCGTTGTCCTCATGGGTAGTTGTGAGGATCAGATGAGATAAAAGTTTTCACCTGTTTAGAGGAGTGTCTGCCAGCATTTCAAGGCTCAGTACACATTAGCTATTCTCAGGCTCGCTGTGGTTACTGTTGTGATGTAAAGCGCTTAGCCCAGAGCCTGGGCATAGTCGGGAGTCTGGCACCTGCTGTTATTGTTTTCAGAGTTTCATGGAGGACACTTTGAGTAGGGTTTGACAGCCTAGCAGTTAGAGAATTTGAAGTCTTGCTTCCCAGGCCAGGAAGAGAGTTGCGCTCCAAGGCCAGGTCCCACCTGATGTAGGAAGTGGAGAATAAGGCTAATGGAATTAATAAGTAAAGGCTTTGTTCTCAACTGTAAGAAGAAACCCAACATGAATATGTGCCCAGAAACACTAGGCAGAATGACCCTGCCCTCTATGCAAATCAGGGAGGTTAAACGTTCAAGGTCAGAACTCTCCTTCTACCTGTCACGATGCATCTGTCCCCGCCATGTGTCCACGACACGGAAGTTACCCTCCCTCTTCTCCCACCAGGGATAATGAATTGTGCTGGATCTGATTTCATTCAGCAGAAAAGTATTGGCATCTACCATGTCCGAAGCACATGCTGGCTCTGCTCCCCCTGGGGCCCAAACACATGTCCCCGCCTCAAGCTAGGCCAGCCCATGGTCTCTCTTGACAGTGGCTGGTCTTGTGTGCATTCTTTCCTGGCGATTCGCCCCTTGTTGCTTAGCAACCGTAATATTTCTAGCATATATTTCTGGGTGTTCTTTTTTCGATCGAAGGCATTCAGGAAATTGGCGATGCACGTGATTAGCGCCCGAGCACTATAATTAGCCCGTGGTGGGGTGAAGGACGATGCAGTCTCCTTTGCGCCCCCCACCCCTTACCACTCAATGATGTGGAGAATGGATTTCATTTCAGGTATGCAAAACATGCATGACAAGGGAATGACGGTTCAGCCCGACCTCAAAGCTTCTTTTTCCTACGGGGCCCTGGAAAACAACGACAACATTTCTGAGATCTGCGCTCCCGCCACGCTTCCGGTCATGCAAGAAGAACACAGCTCCGGGGCTGCCTCTGGAGTACCCTACCGAGTCCTAGAACACACCAAGAAGGAATGAGCCCCCCTAGAAGGAGTGGCTCTCCTTCCTTCCCTGTATAACTTCTCAAGCCCTGCCATAGCTGTTCAACCCTGAATTCTAAAGTTCGCCTTTGGAGTCTTTTTTTCCTTTTTTTTTTTTTTAACCGAGAACTCTCCGGAAGGGGATCTCGAAGGGCCTTTGTCTCTGACAAAGAATACATGTTCTTGGCTTGGAGATTCCGGAGGACCAAGGTGGGGGGCTTGGGGGATGAAAGCAGTTTTGGGGGGGGCTGCAGATTTCAGACTCTGCCCAGTTCTGCCCACCAGGTTGGGAGTTAGCTGAGCGGCCACGTTCCTCAGAGCTGAAACAAGACAGATTCTGCTCTCGCTTTTCCACGTTGAAGGAAAGGCTGGAGACCCCTGAGTCTAGTCTTCCCTTGCCTGACCTTCCCCATCCCACACACGATTCCATATTTTCAATAACATTTGCGTTGTCTTCACCTGGTATAGCGGGCCAGCCCAGGACCCTTCTGTCATTCACCTGGAGAAAACGCACCTACGCCCTTTCCGGGTGTCTGTGCCTTTCTAGTGAAAATGTGCTTCATGTGTTCATAGTCCATCCGCTCTGAAAACTAATTTGCTTTTGGTTCTGTGAACTACATCATTGCTTTTTGTTACCCCCCAAAAGGAACCCAGACGTTAAGAGAAGGAGGGAAATAAGTTCAGGAGCAGTGGTAATGATACGCTAGCCTGTAAGGAAGAGACATCCCTTTTCATCTTACAAAAGCTGGCCGCATCACATACAAAGGGATAGACAATCTGGCTCTTTTATGTGTATTTTCCTGCACAGCAATACCCTCTGGGAAGCCTGGGGCCTCTTATTTCAGAGACAGCCTCCATCATTCCCCCTCCATTCTCTCCTTTATAGATGGGCAAACCAAACTCGAATTATTAGTTACGTAACTTGGAACTATAGAACCTATGTGTCCAACATATGTAGGTCCTACATATGTAGGGGAATTGGGCATTCTCCGTAATCAGTTTCTGCTTTCTCTCAGGCTACACTGGTTATTGTCTACCCCTAGACTGACTGTACTTCTGAGAATGGCAAGTAAGAGTTTGCAAATCTTAGCATAAGGATACCCTAAGGAGTTTAAAATGCAGATTCCTGCACCCCAAGCAGAGATACTCTGATTAAGTGGGAATGGCCCTGAAACGCAAGTGTCTGCATTCTTAATTGGCCATACAGGCCATTCTGATGCAGGTAATCCAAGAATCACACACCTTGAAATTGAGAGAGATGGTCTGCTAAAACCCCCAGGGGCCGACACGCTCCTGCTGCAAAGTCGGAATTAGTATTCCTTGTTTCCTGTCTGGGGTTCATTTGGCAGGTCAAATAATTCCCATAGGATCTGTGACATTTATCCATCCAGTGATTACTCCTTACAACTACCCTTCATGTTTCCCTAGGCAGTCATTAGCTGATAGGCAAGATAACAGTGTTAATAGACCAGTGTTGATAGATCATTAACCTTTATGGATTGTGCTTAATACTGATTTAGTACCCTGACTTCAAAAACCGGCATCTGTGGCTTGTGATAACCACTTCTGTATTACGTCTTACGTGCCTAACATAAGGCAGCAGACGATGACCTTTTTTTCTTTAGGAGAGGTATCAACTCAGTTCAACAATAGCTGTGAGGCATTTGCTGTGTGTTAATAAGCATTTGGATGGTCCAGGCTGCAGAGAGTAACGATGGTCCCTGCCCTCCCAGACCTGCAGAGGACAGATACCCAGAAAACCGTGGCGGGGCAGGCCAGGAGGGATGCACCGTGCACCAGTGAGCCACAGAAAAGGACACTTGGAGGGAGGGGAGCGCTGCCAAAGGTCAGACCCCAAGCCTGGAACAGGGTATTCAGAATTGAAGATGATTTGGGAGCGCCTGGCTGGCTCAGTAGAGCATGCAACTCTTGATCTCAGGGTTGTGAGTTCAAGCCCCATGTGTGCTGTAGAGTGAACTTAGAATAAAAGTTTTCATTTCTGAAACTAATTAATCAATTTTAAAAGTAAAAAGAATTGGAGATGATTTAGGCCTCACTCATTGATGGGGGCCAATCTTACTATGGTTTGAGCAAAGTATAGAAACTAGGGTTGACCAGCTGTCCCTCCCCCGCCCCTGGCAGAGGGGCCAGCATTTGCAAAGGCACAGAGATGGGGAGTGGATGTTGGCAAAGAAAGGAGAGGCAGAGAAAGTGGTGAGAGATGAACCTGCCAGGATAACCAGTGGAGGTCAAATCATGGAGGCCTTGAATACCTGACAGAAGAGATCGAGGTGAATCGTAGGGGACATGGGAGCCACTGATGATTTCTAAGAAAGAGAATGCCAGGATCTACACTAATGGGAAAGGAGGCCTTGTGCAGAGTGTAGAGAAAGAATCTGAAGGGATAATAAACGTCACTTTTCAAGGTCAAGCTGTAAGCCTGCAAGAACAAAACACAAAAGGGGAATTCAGATCTGGTTTCGCTGCTATTCAGATTTTCTAAGTGATTCTGCTGAGGTGGGCAGGGATGGGGGGGGACAGAGTGGATAAACGCAAGGTGAGCAGGGAAGCCGTTTAAATGGGTCAAACCCAGGGGATCCTTTTGGTGTGTTATGTGCTCCCAACCTTACTCTGCCCCTTCCCATTTTTGGTTAATGGGCCGTTTAGTCCCAATCCAGGCAGGAATGAGCTGAGCAGGTAAAAGTGCATTACAGTTTCCGGTCAGCTGACAGTCTTAGTTTCAGTGACACTCAGGCACTGCCTTCAGGTTGGGGGCCATGGCCTAGCTCAGCACCAGGAAGGCTGAGCCGAGAGTGCATGGCAGTTTCCTGAGGGGAAGCCATGAGTAGGTACCCGGTTATTCTGGAAAAGCGCCTGATGTGGAGCCTTGATCTCCAGAGTTCTGAAGCTGCCTTGGACTATCTTCTCCCACCCTTTGTCCCCAAGTGTAAATGAACTGTTAGCTGGTGGCACTTGCTGTTGCGGGAGGGGGAGCGGGCAGGCGAGCAGACATCAACTTCCCACTCACATTCCCGATTCTTGTTTTTTTCTCCTGGCTCTGACATCCCCCAGGCCCTCCTGAATGCTCCAACCCTTCGCTCCTTCCTAGCAGTCAGTACCTAAAGCAGGGTCACCAGACTTGAGTTTAAACTTTCCGTTGCTCTCTGCTCTTCCCCTCTCCACTCCACTCTTCTCCCCTCTTCTCAGGCTGGAACTCTGGGTTCTTTAATCAGACAGCTCAAAAGCAGGTGCCCATGGCCTTTGATGAGAGCTCAGCCCCTCGCTGCACCCCTCCCTTGAAGCTGCAGGCGATGATGCGAAATCACCAGGGTTCCGTCCCCTCAGAACTGATTGCTGGGTCGGGAAGGGAAGACTGATATTCCCATTGCTTTCCTGGTGGAAACCAGCCAGGCTGATGGTACTGTATAAACAAGACAGCCGTTGGGGTACTTAGTGCTGGAGCACCTCCACCCTGCACGCCTGTGAATTCCAAATCTGCTCCAGCCGTGGCTGGAAGGCAAACAAACAAACAAACAAACAAAAACAAAAAAACACCTGACTGCGTGTTTCTCTGAGAAACTGTGTAAATGAAGTCTTCTTAGAATATGTCTTTGTGGATGCTTTATTTTGTGAACTTCATGACGGATATGGCCTGTCGTATTTTTCAAAACAATGTGTGTGTTAGGTGCAAATAACATTACGAAGTGGTATTTCATTAAAAAAAAAATCCATGTGATACCTGTTTAGTTTGAGTCTTCTGTTTGGCTAATACTTTCTAAAGTTATGTAAACCAGTGCTGTCTAGTAGAACTTACTGTGAGGATGGGATTGTTCTATGTCTGTGCTGCAAAGTACAGCAGCCACTAACCAGAGGTGGCTGTTTCGCCCTTTAAATGTGGCAAACGCAACCTAGGAACTAGATTTTTTATTTTATTTAAACTGAATGAAAGGTTAATACCCACATATAGCTAGTGGCTGCTGTAGTCACAATGCAGGTCTAGAGAGGCCCATGATGACAGTTAAGGCTGCCCCCCCCCCCTTTTTTTTCCCTGCAGTGTTAAGAGTATAGCCTCTGTGGCCAACTGCTTAGGTTTGATTCCTAACTCTACCACTTAGGAGCTGTGTGGCAGTGGCAAGTTACTTAAACTCTCTGAGCCTCATCTGTGAAACAGGCATAGTAACTGTATCTACCTGAAGATTCTTATATGAATCAGATAAGTTCATGGATATAAAGTTTGGCAAATATGTCCAGCATTCCATCAGGACGTTATATTATACTGAAGCAATGGGGAAACCCCGAGCACAGAAGCTTCTGTCCCCAAGGAGTTGAGGTCTGTCAACCTCCCACTATGGATGTGTTCACCCACTTCCCTATATTGTTGGTATTTTATGGAGGCTCTCCTCATTGCCCTGAGCAAATAACTAGGTTTCCAGCCCCTCTCCCCTCTCCAGGGGATGGAGGGTAGGGCTGAGAATTCCCATCTTCCATTCATGCTGACTGGCCCCCATCCAGGACCCCACCCAGCGTCACCTCATTAGAAAAAAAGATGCTCCTGGGGTGTCTGGGTGGGCAGCCGGTTAAGGGTCCGACCTCGCTAAGGTCATTACCTCATAGTTTATGGATTCAAGCTCTGTCAGGCTCTATGCTGACAGCTCAGAGCCTGGAGCCTGCTTCAGATCCTCTCTCTCTCTCTCTCTCTCTCTCTCTCTCTGTCTCTCTCTTTCTCTCTGTCCCTTCCCCACTCATGCTCTGTCTCTCTGTCTCTCAAAAATAAACATTTAAAAAAAGAATAAAATAAGCTCCTAGTGCTCTTTTTTTTCTTTTTCTTTTAAAGAGAGAGAGGGCGTGAGCAGGGGAGGGTCAGAGAGAGGGAGACACAGAATCTGAAACAGGCCCCAGGCTCTGAGCTGTCAGCACAGAGCCCGACGCAGGGCTTGAACCCACGAACCGTGAGATCACGACCTGAGCCGAAGTCGGACGCTTAACCGACTGAGCCACCCAGGAGCCCCTCCTAGTGCTCTTATCATTCACAAATTTACAAGGGGTTAGGGGCCCTGAGTCAGGGATAAGGTCAAAGACAAATATTAGAGCAAGAGATGGTCTTAAGGTTCTTACCACTGAGGAACTTACAAGGGTTTTAGGAGCTCTGTGCCAGGGACAGGGTGCAGAGACCCATATGTGTACTTTCTGTGA